TAACTCTTTAGTTTGTATTACTGTGTAAATTCATGACTGATCATGAAATTCGTGAGTTTTAGTAAAAAGTACCTTGCGGGTAGCTCTGCTGGCAGCAGGAGTAACTACGATTTTCGTTTATGAATTCAATGGGACTTTTTTTTCTTCTGAAATTCCAATTTGTTTGAAAATTGTCACAATTTAATAGCTTTTTATGCTTTTTTCTCACTTTTCTTGCACTACGTTACATTCTGTTTCGCAGCTGAAAAACTGTAAGATTTAGAAACTGGAAATTACGAAGGAGAGTTAACAAATGTAAAAGGGATGTAATAAAAAAATTAAATTCGCTTATTAGTTTGTATTAGAATTATTAACTGTTAAACTTGCAGTAAACTACACCGTGCATTCTTGCCCTACTACTCGCTGAAATGCAACTACAGAGTTGAACTTTGTTGTACTAAAAAGGCCATTTTCCTTTATTAAAAGTTAACGCGAATTTTTTTTCTTTCTAAATTCTGAGTTGATCGAAAATTACAGCAAATTTTAGATACTTTTTTTAGCGATTTTTTCACTTTTTTTTGTTTCAAATAACGATTATTTATCACCGGTTGTAGAAAATTTGCTTGTTAAACTTGTTTAACTAAATTTAACAGTTAAAAATTTAACTGTTAAACTTGTAGTAAACTATACCGTGCATTCTGCCCTACTGCTCGCTGAAATGCAACTACAAAGTTGAACTTTGTTGTACTTTTTAGTACAACAAAGTTCGCGTTAACTTTTAATAAAGGCCATTTTCCTTTATTAAAAGTTAACGCGAATTTTTTTTCTTCTAAAGTCTAATTTGATTGAAAATTACAACAAATTTTAGATACTTTTTTCACTTTTTTTTGTTTCAAATAACGATTATTTATCACTGGTTGTAGAAAATTTGCTTGTTAAACTTGTTTAACTAAATTTAACAGTTAAAAATTTAACTGTTAAACTTGTAGTAAACTATACCGTGCATTCTGCCCTACTGCTCGCTGAAATGCAACTACAGAGTTGAACTTTGTTGTACTAAAAAGGCCATTTTCCTTTATTAAAAGTTAACGCGAATTTTTTTTTTCTAAAGTCTAATTTGATTGAAAATTACAACAAATTTTAGATACATTTTTTCACTTTTTTTGTTTCAAATAACGATTGTTTATCACTTGGTTGTAGAAATTTTTTTTTCTCTCTCTCTGGTTATTTTCATTTACAAGCTTACGCTTGAATTGACGTCAAAAAAATGAATAAAATGAAAAAAAAAATGAGAGAGAGAGAGAGGGTTAGATTAAATGTTTTCAGTTATAAATCTGAACATTTATATTGAAATTTTTAAAAATATAAAAAGAGTTAATAATGATTAAAAAAAAAGTTTCCAGTTTAGTCATATATTGTTAACAAGTAAAACTACTTCTCATTTCTTATTTCTTATTATGTCCCATTGTCTGTATTATTTATTTTTAAATATTTTTTTTAATATTACAGTATTTTAGTCTTAAATCTGAGTAATCGTTCATTTTTTGACTGCTAAAATAGCAATAAAATGTTCTTACACAACATTGTAATGATCATATATTTTATAAACAAATAGATCTTTGTTTTTGTGCAAAAATTTCAAATTTTAAGACAATAAAAAAGTTGAATGTGAGGTCACCACAAGGTTGGGGAGCAGAGCTTCCTATTATGTTTAAATAATAGTTAGTGACTTGATAATACTAGTTTTTATTTCAAATAAATCAACAGTCAGTGATTATCTACCTAGCGCGTATTTTTTCTCATGTTTTATTCATATTTAAAAATAAATTGCTTTATAATATGTGATTTATAAATTCAGTAAGTAAATCAATGTTTTTTAAGGTAGAATTACAATTGTATCAATTCATTCAGTGAATTAATGCTTTGAAGGATCCATAAAAAGTGAATTTATGCCTTAAACGATCATTGAAATGCTTTGAAATATCTCTTAAAAATTAATTTATGTCTTAAACTATTCCTCAAATGCTTTGAAATATTTCTTAAAAACTAATTTATGTCTTAAACTATTCCTCAAATGCTTTGAAGGATCCGTTAAAAATAACTTTATACATTAAACGATCTCCAAATGCTCCCTTAACGAATTTATGCCTTAAACAATCCCTAATATGCCTGCAAGGAAAGAAAAATCGTGTTTCATTGCTGAGAAAACTATCTTTAAGAGCTCAACTGGATTTTTTTTTCGTACTAAAGGCACCTTCAAATTCGGTTCATTAGTCATTGATTCATTTAATGTATAGTAACTTAATTAAATAAATTATAATAATAAAAAAAAACTAGATAACTTTTATAGTTCTCGGAAAATCCGCGCACCTGTATCGGTAATTATGCACTGAGGAAAAGAAGGCTGTTTTTGTCAGGTTCGAAAATGGTAATAAAAACCTTGAATGAGAAACGTTAGCGACATTTAAATAGAATTGAGTAGCAAGGTCAAGGTTACAGTGTAAGGAATAGGTCAACTCAATATACACATTTTCATGAAGATTACGATGATATTAAGTTTGAAATTTTTAGAAAACGTATGAGTTATTTGCTGTATTGAACGGTTATTTAAGTTAATTTCTATAAAGTGTCCTTTGTATGTTAATACTCTGTCAAATTTTCTCCTAAAAATTGAGATTTCATTTTTTATACATTGAGATTTCATACATTTTAAGAAAAAAGTGACATCTCAACTGTTAGGTGAATAGCATCATTTGGAAATATGACTATTGTATAAAATACTGTTGCCCAGAAAATATAGGCTTCGCAGTGCATAAGTGAAGTTTATTTTTTTATCTTTATATATTTTTTATTTCTTTATTTTTTTTTATTTCCAATGAGCTGCACAATCGGTCTTCCCGATGAGCTGACCTAGTGCGTTCTCCAGAGGTGGTATCCACTCTTTCAGGACCACCACAATGGGTGAGATACCGTTGGTTATGTTAATTTGGACGTCTAGTTTCTGCCGCACTAGATCGTAGCACCGAGACTCTATTTGAATGCTAAAGTGCACTAATAATTTAATTTTGTCGGAAATGCCAAGAGCCAATAAGGCACTCCAGGGATCTTTTACATGCCGCATAATCATACGACATGGCCGCTGAGGATTTTCTGCATCCCGAAAATCCGGTGTCTGGGCCGGTGATTGAACCCGCAGACTTGGGCTTAGAAGGCCGACGACAAACCAACTGCGCTATCCAGCCCCTTTTTATTTTTATATTGCTTTGTATATTTTATATTGTCGTTTTTTTTAATTTTATATTGCCTTCGGGGAGGACTTTTTGATGGAACTAGCCCGCATTTGCGTTACATGGAGAAGAAAACCTCTCACGGTAAGCCTGACGGCAAGGGGACTGTAACCCATGATCCGTCTACCACTGGGGACATTTTACATCAGCACTGTAATCGGTGCGAGCCAGGCACGGAGTTCTAATCGACCAGCTATCGCTGGGATCAAACCCGAGTCCCCTTATTGGGAGACGAGAGCTCTATCCCCTGAAACACCTTTGTAATGTAAAAATTTAATCACAATTTCAATTACAAATTGAGATTTTTACTATTTTTTTCCGAAAATTTGAAGGCTCGAGCATTTTTCCGATCCAGAGACATACTTCCTTAATTGCATCAAATTCATCGGTGTTTTTTTCTTAAAAGTCTATATTTTCCACGTTATTTAGTTATTATAAATTTATCTAAGAACATTTTGTTAATTTGTTAATCGCAAGGAAATAAATGATCAACTACAATTGATGAAAAGAATTGGAGATCAAAGATAAATCGGAAGTCGTCATGGAGAAATCTTCAGAGGAAGGCATTGGCTCACATTGGGCTGTCTGGTCAACTATGATGATGATGATGATGTAATTATTAAATAATCAACTGTTCTTGAAAAAAATTTAATTTGATGAGTGTTGAAAAGTCTGTCGGACGAAGAAGTTTAACAGGTAGTTTTTAACTTCTTCAAATAGCGAAAAGAAAAAAAAATTATCAGATGGTTATATTCAAGCTGGTAAAGCAGTAGGATGATTGCTTGAGTGCTTAAAATGATTTTCACTGACTGGGTTACTAAATCTGAACTGTCAGAAACTTTTAAATCACCTTTCATAAATTGATACCACTTTTCTAAGGCACCATTTTCTATGATAACATTGTACTGGAGTACAATGTATGCAACAGTATTAGATTATTGGTATTACTGTGTAAGCTGGAGGACTCGCTTTCTGAGAAACATATTTAATTTGATTTTAAGGGCAGAAAGGTTACTTAAACAGAAACCAAAAGTGTAACAATTTTTATTAATAATAGTTTTGTATAAATAAATAATAAAAGTATCAGAATTCCAAGATTATGACCAGAATTAGAAGAATCAGATTTGAATACTAGATTTAGAAAAAATAGATTTGAATACTGGAATTACAAGAATTAGATTTGAATGCCAAAATTAGAAGAATTAAATCTGAATACCAGTTTGATAATGATTAAAACATAGGGGGATAACTTGCTCTTAATACATATTTCATTACATTTAATTTCCAAAGCTGTTATTTTAATGGAGACATAAAGTGTAGCAATTTTTATCAATAAGATTTTCGTTTAAATGAGTTATGATATCAGAATTCGAAGATTATAACAAGAATTAGGAGAATCAGATTTGAATACTAGATTTAGAAAAAATAGATTTGAATTCCAGAATTAGCAGAATTAGATTTGATTGTCAAAATTAGAAGAATTAAATTTGGATGCCAGCTTGAAAATGATTAAAACATAGTAAGATGACTCGTTCCTTGAAAAACACATTTCATTGCATTTAATTTAGAAAAACTCTTATTTTAAGTGAGACCTAAAATTTAACAATTTCTATTAAAAGTATTTCTGTTAAAGGCTGGTAATTTTGTTGAAATAAATAAAAATGCCAAATGCTTATAAATAAATTTATGTCTTAATACGATTATCGTTTAAAGTTTACAATCAAATAAACTTACCTATTTCCTTGGCTCTATGAATATTTGATTCAAATTTCGTAGATTTTTGTTGAATTCCTGAAAAATTAAGGAAATTAATGAGAAATCAAACTTTCAGAAAATTGGTTCAACTGAACTCTTAGAAAAATTGGTTCAACTGAACTCTTAGAAAAATTGGTTCAACTGAACTCTAAGAAAAATTGGTTCAACTGAATTCTTAGAAAAATTGGTCCAACGTTAACCCATAGAAACCGTACTTTAAAAAAGATATCTGCTGCAAGCCTAAATAAGCTATTAAATTGAACCATGCTATCGTTTAAGTTTAACTTTAGCAACATGTAATCAAGTTTAATAGTATTCAGTTTGAACGATAATATGGTTCAACTTGGGACCGTTTTAAAGTTAACACGGTATTTCGCTCTCCAAAATTTCCAACGGTGTAACATTAACTGTAAAAATATTATTTACTATAATACAATTTTACCAAATTTAAGTAATTCTGTTATCTACTGATAAGTGCAAAATACTGGAGAGAATTCGCCGTAAACCTCAATTATTTGACTTCATTTAACATTAGCATTTTATTTTAACATTAGCTTTTTTTCAATTCTGAAACAAAACATTTCTTATAATAATATTGCTATTATAAAGCAATTTTGAATGTAATAGTTATAATTTCATAGCCTTAATTTGAATGAATTGTATTTATAAAAATATTATATTCTTGACGATTATTTCATTTATTTTATTGAAAAACTCAGCAATTGTAGATATTTCATTCAAAATTTATAATTCCCAAAGAACACTAATAACCCAACGGGTTAAAGTTTGTAACATTCTGATTGCAAAGAAAAATCAAGAGTTAAGTTTTTTTATACTTGTAGGTTCAAATTCAAAGTATAACAGAATATTCTATCTCTATTACAATAAATGAAGCATAAGATTTACTTTGTAGAATAAAATGTTTCTCATTTTCCCCAGAGCAATAAGGAATTTAAAATCTAGTTTCATTTTTGCTCTATTGCTATTCTGGTGAGCAATTATCTTTTTATTTCTTTTTTAGTTTTACCTGGAAAAAAAGTTGCACTACGACGCATTCAGGAGTCAGTAACTTGTTGACACTGACCAGGGTCAGATATTACTTTTCTGTGACGCAACAGGTCAAAGTTGTCATAATCTATTTATATAATATTATTTTGACGAAAAAGTGTTTTTTTATTTTTTTATTACATGATAAGAGCAGTTGCTAGAAAAGATGGCGTATTAGTTATCCCGTTTCCCAATAAAACCTGTAATTGAATATAATTTTATAAATTTTGAGATATTTCGAATGAATTCTTTTTTATTTTCAATGTAACAGTCTACCATTATGAAACGAAAATTTTTGTTAACCTTTTTTGTGAGTTGATGAGCGAAGCGAACATGCGTCCAGCCCCCTAATTACCCATATAAATGAAAATATAAACATTTCGTGCACTAATTAAGAGATTCTCGTCATAGTTTTAATGGATATCATTCAATATCGGCGAAAAACATTAAAAACAGCAAATATAAACTTTCCAGAAAGGCTTTCCTGAGAAATTAGATTTCTCAAGAACGATTCGACCGATTTCGCTCAAAATTTGCATTTTGTTATATGAAATTACATTCTTTAAGATGATCAGAATTTATAGGGATTGATCGGATTGCATTCTTTAAAATAATCTTTGGCTAAACGAATTTTATAATTGCGTGTAAATTATTTTCAATTTGCTTAAAAAGTTTCCGAGATATGGTGAAATACGCAAAGAGCAAAACGAGCATTAAGGGCTCCAATTTTTGGAGCGGTCTTCTTACCAAACTATTTGGACCATATTTCTCAGATTGCGGCAGCCCCCTATATTTCGGGGGTCAGAAATGTTAGTCTGTCAAGAAAAAAAAGGCATGTTTAATCAGGGAAAGTACGTTTTTGTGCCTGATTTCGCAACTTTAAATATCGTCTGCGCTTATTAATTAGCAAATTTGAAGTCACCCCCTTGAGACATTAAGATTGAGTCCTGGAACGTTAAAATCCGATCATTTGATCAAAAGTTATTCAGGGTGGTCTCAATTTTTTTGTTGGCGCTCTTTACACCAAGTTTTATACTTCTATCATTAAAGGAGGGTTTCCTTCAATTATTTTACCAATTTGCCGTACTAATTAGCATGCGTTTTATAACAAAATTAAATATGAAAGTCTTTAAAATAAGTTATTGGTTTGTAGTGAAATGCATTAAAGTTAATTTAAACATAAGAATGGAAATTCGTTTGCATTCAAAAGATAATTTGAAAATAGTAATAGATAAATGAAAAACGAATTATCTTTTATTGCCTAATTTCGAAGTTTTTTTACGGGTTGTACTCATGCATCATTAGTGGTACGTAGAAGCCCATTTGAGTTTAAAACTATTTAAATTGCAACTGTGGTAACCTACCTAAAACCTAACAATTTATAGGCTGAAATAATTTTAGCTTTAAAAAGGAGTTCAGATTTTGCAAAATATTTGATTTAAACATTGTAGTTGTTAATTACCTTACTGAAAAATGGAAGATTTATGAACATGGAAAATATCCCCGAGACAATCTAATTTAACAAATGTGAATAAATCTAAGAAATAACCTTACATGAAATGCATTTAAAAAAGAAACAAAAACGTTATCACTGTAACGGAAAAATTAAGGATTCTCACTTTTAAATGACGCTTGCAAAACCCTCAGTCATAAATGGAACCCATAATTTTAAAATAAAAGACTGTTGTTCAATATTTCAGAAATACCGCGCCAATTTGGCACCCTTTGTCTTAGCATCCTCGCCACTGTTTTTTTTTTTGTAACCCAAAAACAGTTGAAATTTGGTTGTTGATCTTATAGCTTGAGCGTGCTCTTACAACACCTCCTAGATAAGAGCAGGCCTCAGCACGGGTTACCATAAATATCCTTAAGTAGTCCAAACGAAATGACATATTTCGTATTTTCAACCACTGCTTAGTACCCCTAACGAAATGACGTCTTTCTTATTTTTCATCTACTGCGCAGTTAACTTCGTTAGATCGGACTACTAAATTGATCCGCCGGCCTTCCTTCTTCTAGGAGGTATTGGCTCGTCGCACCGATGAAAATAAAATTTGAAATACAGTCCATTAGTTTTTATTCATTCGTTATCGAACAAATCAGCATATAAATCAATTAAATTAGTATCGAACAACTGTTAATAAAAATAAATAAAAGCTTAAATTAGTAAAGTTTCTTTCTGCCATGTTTAGCTGGTTCAAAAAGACATTTCAAATCTGTAAACAAAAAGCTTTTCATAACTTAAACGAATTAAAAATCAAAATTCTTTTTTGAAATGCTAATGAATAAGAATTAGTTTTTGCACATCCTATAAAATCGCTAGTTTTAATGACATCCACTTACTTTTGAATGGAGGTTCATCCATGATGTAGTTGAATGTACCCCAGACACATGGTGCCACTGAAGACACTTCCATTTCTTTACCAGAAAAGAGACCCTTTTTCTCAACTTCGAACTTGTCAGCAGGAAAAACAAATAACGTGACTGGCAACATAAGGACACTGAGAACAACCAGCAAGAAGCAAGCCCACTCCCAAGGCAATCCAGCGTCATAACCATACTAAAGAAATACACATAAACTCAGATTAGATGAACCATCAGACCATTGACGTGTATGTTGAGCACGGTGGTTAAAAGCACTGATTTGTCATTGAAAGGACTGGGGTTCGATTCTAAGTGACTGCTTGAAGCACAGCCAGCTTCAGATTAATAAATAGCAGCTTGCTTGGGAAGTAAAGCTGACCGGTGCGAATATATGTTAAAAGTATAATAAAGTCGTACAACAGCCAGTTGTTAGCTAAGAGTGTCCTAGAGATTCACAATTTCTAGATCATCGACAAGATGATAACAGAGAGATATCACCATGTTGATAGATGTTGCTATAGTCTGTCTAAGCTAAGAACTCCTCCCGCCACAAAGTCTGAGGCCGTCTGGTGCTATGGAAACAAGAATGGCACATTTTAGGGAGGGTAGCTTCACCCAAGGACTAACACAACAGACCGAAGAAAAATATTCCCTTTCTCCCGCCGACCTGAGGCGAAACCACTCCGAAACAGTGACCTCGCACCCCTACTTGAAATAGTCATACATCGTTACCATAGTCACCGCCACAGGTCCAGACGAATGTCTGGAAGAGTTCTTATTTTAGACAAACTATATGTCATGTTGATAGATGTTTTCATGTTATGTCATGCCATGATAGAACACCATGTTATGAGATATCTTATGATAACAGATCCGTTTCAAAAATCGCCCTCATTGAGCACGGGTCACCTATATTTCCCAGACAAAGTGGAACTCAACGAGCTGAAGTTAGGTGTGATTTTATAGCTGCCACTTGGGATAGAAACCCAGCTCTTTCCAATGATATCGCGATGGCGTCTACATTGCGATCTAATGACAATAACATCCACATCACGATGGCACAGTACTTTTAATCACTGTGCCATCGTGGTTCCAATGACCCACTTCCAACGACACTGACGATGAAGAACTTCCAATGATATCCACATTGCAATGGCACAGTGTTTTTTAACCACTCTGCCATCGCGGTTCAAACTTCATGTTTAATAATGTTAAATAAATAATATATTAACATGCATGTTTATGTATGTTAAAGTAGCGAAATCAGATATTTCTCCATAGATCATCTAATATACATACTAACTCAATAATTAACATTATATTAATTTACTTCAAAGATGATTTAGCGGCTTGTGGGAATGAATATGATTTAAAATGTTAGGAGCAATAAGTCACACATTTTCCATAAGTGGCATTTTTACATTAAACTGTTCTTTGTTTCCGGGTAGTACTTTGAAAATTTTCAGAATTTCCTCTAGATAACAATAAATATTGTAATGCTTACATGAAAAACGCTCTCTCAAACAATTTAAATCGTGGTTTATCCTTATATTGCCCCAATCTTTTCATTTGCTTACGTTATTGTAAAAGAAAAATATTTTTATTCATGTAGTCATTTTGTTAAATGTCCGAAATATAACGTTTTATCATTCACATTGGTAAATACCGACATTTGACATACATTAAAGATGAAGGCTATTTTTTTAATGATCATAAAATGTTTTAATAAAATAATTCTTTTAAAAAAAATCAATAAAAATATTTCTTTCGAAATGATTTTTGTTATATATCATTATTACTCACTTAACTGAGAAATGCCGATATGCCCTAATAAAAAAGCTATGCGATTTTTGTTTTAATTATTACAAAAGAAAAATAATTTTTCTAATTCACGCTCAGTGTTCTAGAGACAACTTAGAAACACGAATTTCAATCTCACAACTTTAATTTTTTTTAGTCCTATTGTGCTTGCGAGAACGGATGTTTTTACTGAAATTAAACTCTGGCATCGTATTTGCAAACTACTTTAAATACTTCTGTAAAATACCACAAATGCAGCAGTAAAATATCACAATTTGAGGGAAACATATTTTTGAAAACGTGGATGCTATGAAATATACAGTATTAATAAAAAAATTTACTTTAATGAAAACAAAAACTGATGCAGATGCACTGAAGGCTCCACTGTAGAGTGTAATAATTGTCGATCTCTTCTCAGGAAACAAGTCAGCAATCTATAAATAAAAATAATCATTATAGTAACAGTCATTAATGCCTTGATTGTTAGAAATAATTGTCACATAAACATTTCCAGAAATCATCCTTACATTGAAGTCATCAGTCATAATAATTTTTGTTATAATAACTCTATTATTCACAGTAACAACTCCCGTTAAAATATTTAACAAAAAAGCCATGCGCCATTGCTACACATCTGGGCCGAGTTTCGCCTTCCTGCTCCTACCAGCTTGTGGCGTAACTACCACTACGAAAATTAAACATCAATTCACTAGTATATAAAACATTCTAACTTGATTCAATCACGAGGTACCTTTTGATAGATGAAGGTTGGCATGGTCGATAACTCCGCCCCCCACATTGGTGACCCGGACGTGATATGATTACGCAAATCTTGTTAGTAACTCCCACTTCGATCTGGTAACGCCTACTTCGATGAACGGACACCACTAGTTGCTGTACTTGTAAAAGACCGGGAGAGCTCGATTAAGGTTACCGGTTTTTTTTGTGTGCTGAATGTGAGAGGTGTATTAACTACACGGTCGTATAGTCTCTCCTGTGTTGCATTTAGCATTCGAGTGTATACAGGCTGACGTTGTGTATGATCGAGACGAGACTGAGTAGCAACAGCGTGAGGAGGTGGATAATGTCGCAGTCACAAGTCACCAGTTCAATGTGGACATCAAGATGTTAGAAAAAACATCTCCCACCGAAAACCCCCCTGCCAGCGATGTCATCTGTCTAAAACCGAAGATGACTCTATTAAATGGGATAACAGTTATAGTAGGAAGTATTATCGGATCAGGAATATTTGTAAGCCCGAAAGATGTCTCAAAAGGTACCGGAAGCGTTGGCCTATCTCTCGTGGTATGGATCACTTCAGGAGTTTTATCGATGGTTGGAGCCTATTGCTATGCCGAGCTGGGCTGTATGATTACAAAAACAGGAGCTGATTATGCATATATCATGGAATCGTTTGGCCCATTTGTCGCCTTTTTACGTTTATGGGTCGAATGCATGATTGTCCGTCCATGCTCTCAAGCAATAGTTGCATTGACCTTTTACTTTTATGTTTTGCGACCCATTTATCCGGACGGTGAACCACCTGATACAGCTATTCGTTTTTTGGCCTGTTTATGTATCTGTTTGCTTACGTTCGTAAATTGCTGGGATGTAAAATGGGCAACAAGAGCCCAAGATTTGTTTACGTATGGGAAGTTGATAGCCCTTATTGTTATCATCTCTACAGGCTTCATAGAATTATTTAAGGGCAAAACAGAATTCTATTCCTGATAAAAATTCTGCTGGGGGAGTATTGTAGCGTAACTACCACTACGAAAATTAAGCATCAATTCACTGTTATATAAGACATTCTAACTTGATTCAATCACGAGGTACCTTTTGATAGATGAAGGTTGGTATGATAGATAACTCCGCCCCCCCCCCACACTACACATCTGGGCCGAGTTTCGCCTTCCTGCTCCTACCAGCTTCAAAACAGTTTTGGCGACATTATTCCATTCTTATCATAGCAAGTAAAAACTCCCACTGATAAATTTCTTTACTTGAAGTATAAGTAAATAGCATTTGAGCTGAATATTCTTAAAAATGTGCATTCCCCAAAAATACCAAAATAAGCTCTATTTTTTTTGTAATGAAAGTAAATGATGAACATTTACTTTTTATAAGCATCACTAGATGGCGGCAGAAGTTATTATAGTTAATAGTTCCATAAAGTTTTTAACTTATTGAAATCAAAAATATCGATTTACTATGCTATAAAATTTTCTTTTTTATAAGGAGGGCTCCCTATCTTCTTCCATGGAAAAAGAGAAAAACTATTTTAATGACTCATGAATAGCACAAAAAGCAAGTTTTGTACATTTTATTCTTGATTCTTCATTCGCAACCGGATTCGAATCCCAGTCATGGCTGGTTGATATGAATTTCACACTCAACTCGCACCGATCACAGTGCTGACGTAAGATATCCTCCGTGGTAGACGAATCTTGGATTAGAGTTCCCTTGCCGTAAGGCTAACCGTGGGAGGTTTTCCTCTCCATGTAACGTAAATGCGGGTTACCTCCACCAAAAAGTCCTCCACGAAGGCAAATTTCTCCCAATACTTGATCCAGGAATTCCCTTGTGTTCTGGATTAGGATCAAAATTGCAAGGCTACGGAGTTGAATATTGGTAGCCGTAAACTTACAATTGGGTAGGCTGTTCCACGATGGTTTTAAATAATTTAGCAAAATAACAGGGGGAATATTTCACTTGTTACTCAAATTACCTGTTGAATAATTTATTTTTTAAAGTTTGTTTTCTCAAAGTGGCAACAGCTTTATATCTAGCTATTCGAGCATGAAAATCATTTTTATAGAAAAGTGTAAAGGTTTATACTCTGACAGAAATACGAAAGCAGTTGTAAATGACTGTAAGTTCGTTCCTGCTTCAACAAGATATAAAACAATGATGTTCTTGGTATAATAGAAATCTAAAAATTAAATCTCGGTGATGTTTTTATTCAATGGCAAAGTAAACTGTAATATATTTTCTACAATAAATACTATTTTTGACGCTCTTCTTTTGACATTCTTTAGGCTCTAAACAGAAAATGATAATAATAAAATCATAATGTTCTTAGATGGTGTACACGATTGTACACATGCGCTGGTTCATTGAATACTATAATTTCAACAAACAATACTTTATTTAACAATGGTAAATAACCAAAATCATTGCACTATTGCAATGAAAGCCACGACTGGCTTAAACAAGAGTTCAAGAGCAACTGAGCAGTCCACAACAATTGCTACAGATGACGCTTCGCTTAAGACCGAACAGATGGTACTATAACTTCGCCATTTAATATAGCAAGGCAAAAAAAAAGAACAAAAAACTGAAAACATTGTTTTACGTAAAACAAAAATCGTTAGAGATTAAGTATTGGGACAAAAATCTGCTTCAAAGTTATTCCACTAAGGGAATCGAAAAGGCCAAAGTTTGAGGTTTTAAAGTTAAAGTAAAAGTTTTAATTTTAATCAGTATATACCAGGGGTTTCCAACTTACATGTGGCTGGGGGCCGCAATTAAAAACACCAGTCAAATGGTGCGCCGCAACTTTATCAAAATTTTGCGTAGAACTCTTTTATGTTTGAAGGAACATTAAATATTACTGTAAGATTTTTATCAAAGTCTTTTTAATATCAAAAACCAAAATAACAAGCATTACAAATAATGCTTGTTATGTATTTGGAATCTTCTCTTTATCAGAAACTTAGTGATAAGATTTTTTTTCTTTTAAATTTAATTCTGTGATATATTAAAAAATTTTTTCCAGCTTATTAGGAATTATAGCAGCAACAACAAAAAATTCTCGAACATCTGAAACTAATTTTTTTTTCTTCTCCGCACATGCGATATTCAATTCAAGGAATTTAAATAAAACATGAAATTCATTCCCTCTTTTATGCGTTACAAAGCTTATAATTGTTAATAATTTCGTCCAAAATGAGTAGTTTCAAAAAGTTAAACGGGAGAATTTCTTCGAAAAAATTTCTGATATGCACATGCTGCATTATATTAACAAATTACAAAAAAAGGAAGAAAAAAAAACGAAGTAAAAAAGAGCACGATTATTTTTGTATTTGAATAAAATATATTCTTGGGTGCAAAACCTGAGAAATAAATTTTTTTGCATCGCTGGTTTGTTAAATTTCACAGAAACGAAGAAATTATGTTTTCTTAAGCGAAAGAAAAGTATTTTAAATCCATATTGATTTTTTACGAAGATTGTCCGCAAAAAAAAGACAACTAATATATTTTAGATCGCGGGCCACAAAAAAAAAGCTTCGAGGGCCGGATGCTGCCCGCGGGCCGCAAGTTGCTAACCACTGGTATATACTGTCTCGTTATGAAGAATCGGCTACTTGCAACTCGAGAAGAAGTGAAATGATTATGTCTCACCATGTGATTTAAATATAATTTAATTGGATACCTGTAAACGACGTCACGGATGTGTGTCGAACCCGATTGGCTTATGAATCAACAAATGCCACAATTTTACCTATAATGACGTCACTTGCCGGTTTCCTATTATTTGACTTGGATCTGCGCATTTTAACATTAGCTTATTGTTCTGTTCTGAAAAAACAGTAAATAATTCTAACTATTTTGCTATTATACAGCAATTTTTAATTTTAGACTATTAACTTTCTAGACTTTAAAGTATACAAATCGCTCATGAGCTGCCGCGTTTTGGACTAATAACAGACGTAAATATGAAAATACACATTCTTTTCAGCAGCAATGCTAGCATAACTCATAATTCAGCTTGAAGGTAATCTTCATTTAAGCAAACTAAAGCATTCCTTATGCATTTTCCTTTGCAATGAAAACTTTAAAACCACTTATCTCAAAACATAATTTTTTGAGTTGTGCAGCTATTGCAGCCCATGAGCGAAATAGCTTAAACATTTTTAGGAAAAAATACATTAAACTTTTAAAAAGATCGCTAACTCGAGCAATATTTTTTTCAATTAGAAGAAATTCATTCAAATTAATGAATAATTCTCGAGTTTGGAATATTTTTATTCGCGCAAATAAGGCGAAGTTGGAATAACTTTAAATATTAAAAAAAGAAAAAAAAAAACATCAAAAACACTTTTTTCACAAAACTTTGGCTTTTCTTAATATTTTCATTTTGCGCCATTTTCTTTTTCTTTATCAGATAAGGCGCTAAACTATAATATCTGTCAGACATGAATAATTCTTGCAAATTCATATCAGTTCTTACAAATTTATATACAAAATAATACATTTTACACTAAACTTATTACTTCATAAGGCGATAACTTCAAAAGCAAAGAGATAAGATTTCTTTCCCCAGGTGTGAAAAAACCCTTTATTTAAAAGCTGAAATGCACTTTCACAAGATACAAATTTCACCTTTATCAAAAAATTTCACCTCTACTGAAAAAAAATAAAAGATAACTAA